AGGACGGGCAGCGTGTCACGCGAAGTTGTAGCGACGCTACAAGATGATTTTGCGGATCAAATAGTATTGTCTAGTGAGGAGGAGATCTGCGATTGGAGAAGGTGCCAAAAGGGGAAGGGGGAGGGCACACCCCATAGCGTTAGTGGAGAAGGGCCTACCTAATTTGAATGGTGTTGTAAAACGAAAAGAATGAGATCCATCTCCGAAGGCCCCTTCAGATCTTGACGGACGGTCACCGAGATGTGATAAATTGAAATTTATTTACATATTTGTGGCAAAGAATGGAGTTTTCACTTGGTATTTGCAGAGACTTTATGCTTAACATATTTGTTGTCTCCAGAATCGAACTCAGATTTTACTTTCTTAACACTCTGTGTCTTGTCAACTGTGCAACGCTCATCGAATTCGATGGAGTTGAAAGGAAAATGGATGCATGCCGAGGAGAGGCTCAAATTCCGAGGGGAGTAGTGTCACGTGCAATTCTACCCGTAGTTCTCGGGATTTGGTCACGGCTACAAAAGTGAAGGAAAGAACAGCCTATTACCCGCCGAGACTCCGCATGGTTTGGTTAGTTGTGCTTCTTCAATGCGCGCGTACCATATGGGACCAAACATACTCCCGGATATATACTTCCTCCTCCCAAAGGGAGTGATCTAGTTTTGTTATAAATCATGAAAAAAAATATCTCTATTTAAATATAATATAAAATCACTAAAGTAAGATTGATTTTGAAATATAATTTTGAGTAATTTTTGTGCATTTAATATTTAAATTATACTCCGTATTGAATTTATGATCAAAATGTTAAATAATATGGTAAAAAGTCAAACTCTGAAGTTCTTTTTGAGATGTAGGGAATAATTAAGGGAAATTTTAAGCAGAAAATTGCTGCTAGGTGCCCTCTATTTTAAAATAATGACTATCGGATATCTCTAGTTTTAAAAATATACTACGAGATACCCTAAAATATTGAAAAACTAATTGAAGGGCGATTTTCCATCCTTGCTTCCGTTTGTTCCTACTATATCCGTTACTTCTACACCATCACCATCATATCATCATCATCATCCATCATCCAGCACCATGATTTCTCCCTCGTCATTCTTCTTCTTCTTTGTTCTCCTCCACATCTAGCCCCCCCACCCCCCCTTTTTATTCTTCTCATTTTTCTATTATTATTATTATTATATTATTATTATTATTATAATAAAAAACTATTAGTAATTTTACACCCTAAAAAAAGTAAATTTACTACTCTAATATATAGAAAAAAGCACTAATAAATTATAAATAGTGCTAAATATGCAGTAATACTTATTGTTATAAATAGAGTATTACCACTACTAATTATTTTTAATATAAATAATGAAATTAGTTATTATTATTATTATTAAAAGAATTTGTAGTTTTACTACTCTTTTTTTTTTTGAAAAAAACACTAATTATTATTAATTTTAATTACTTCTTCCGTTCCTTTAAACCCTCCCATTTTGACTTTGGGCTAAATAAAGAAAATGTAATTTTGGTTGATTTTCCAATTTTGCCCTTGATGTGATGGTAAAAGTAAGATATGATAGTTTGATTGTTACTGAAAAAGTATGATGTGATCAATAGGGTATGAAAAAGTAGGAGTAAAAGTAGTTTTTTAATAGAAAGTGAAAGTGTTTTAAGGAATTGGTAAAAAACGAAAGGAGAAGGGTTTTATGGAACAAAGTGGGTATTTATTATAAATATTATTTCTTTATTATTATTTTCTTCTTGTATTCTTATTCTTATTTATTACGGAGTACTTGATATCTATCACTATTTAGAGTAATAAATTTACTACCTTTTTTAGGGTGTGAAATTACTAATTAATTATAAATAATAATACTCCCTCCGTCCCTAAATATTTGCCACATTTGTATTCCCGAGACAAAATATCAAGTTTTTTCAATTCATTTTATTTATATATTGGCATAGAAATAAAAAATAAAATTTACATATCAAAAAACTACATGAAAAGTTATTCGAAATAAGAGGTGTTAAGAATATTTTATTTTATTAAATTACCAATGAAAACGTAGAAATAAACAAAAGTTCCCGCGACAGTTGAAAAAGCAAACGTTGCAAATAGTTTGAGACAGAGGGAGTAATAATAATAGAAAAATAAGAAGAAGAAAATTAAGGGAGAGGGTGGGGTGGGGGGGCTGGATTGGAGGAAGAAGAAAAGTAAAAAAAAAGAAGAAAAGGAAAAAGAAAAAAGAAGAAATGGTGATGACGGCTGGGCGAATATGAAGAGGCCAAGAGGGGATGATGACGATGATGATGATGACGGATGTAGTTGGAGCTAACGGAGGGATATGGAAAATCACCCCTAAGTTAGTTTTTCAATATTGTGGGTACCTCGTAGTATATTTTAAAACAAAAATTTACCTAAATAGAACTAAAACATAATGACTTTCCCAATATAGGACCATATGTTTTTATTTTCCAATGTAGGATTTTTGGTCATTAACAAGTAGTCATTATTCAAGTAAATGTCCATCATTACTGGACATTATTCTTCCCACTAGGTCATTATTAAGTCCTATTTTGGGAATAAACAAGTTTAAGTCCTACATTGGGAAAGTCATTATGTTTTAGTCCTATTTAGTGCAAATTTTACATTTTAAAAACTAGAGGTATCCCGTAGTCATTATCTCCAAATAAAGGGTACCTAAGAGCAGTTTTTTGAATTTTAAGTAAGACTAAAACAAACTCTTTTCATTTTAGAATATCTATTCATTTCTATCTTTTTTTTGCAGTTAATTTGGATCGATTTTTTATTTATAATTAAATACAAATTACATGATATGTTAATTAGATAAAATAATATTCTAAAAATATTTATAATATAAATCTAATAAAAAAATATATATCAATATCTAACACGTGTATATACTTTATTTAGCAAATAATCAAAGTTTATAAATTTAACAAAGTGAAATTTGCACTAAATAAGACTAAAACATAATGATTTTCCTAATGTAGAACTTAAACTTTTTTATTCCCTAAATAGGACTTAATAATGACCTTGTGGGAGGAATAATGTCCAGTAATGATGGACATTTACTTGAATAATGACTACTTGATAATGACTAAAAGTCCTACATTGAGAAAATAAAAACATATGGTCCTATATTGGGAAAGTCATTATGTTTTAGTCCTATTTAGGTAAATTACTCTTTAACAAATACGTTTGAGATAGAGATAGAAACTTACTCCATCCGTCCCAAATTATTTGCAACATTTGCTTTTTCAGTAGTCTCGGGAACTTTTGTTTATTTCTACGTTTTCATTGGTTATTTGATAAAATAAAGTATTATTGACACCTCTTATTTCGAAGAACTTTTCATGTTGTTTTTTGATATGTAATTTTATTTTTCATTTCTATACCAACATGTAAATAAAATGAATTGAAAAAATTGATATTTTGCCTTGGAAATACAAGCGTGACAAACATTTAGGGACGGATGAAGTATATATTAAAATGGAATCTTTATATATTCGTATCAAAATACTCCGTATGATTTGTAATGTTAAGAACGACAACATTTGACCATCTTTTATGATCTATATGTAAGGAAAAAAGTCACCCAAATCTTGTTACAATATACTCAGATCACTTTTTGTGTGTAGACCTTTTGATATAATTTTAAAATATATAAATTATACTTATCATTTATAGATAAATTTTAAACGAGACCAAATTAAAAATAATCTCAACCAAAATTGCCCTAGTACTTTTTTTGGAGAGGAAGTAGAGAGTAAATTAGTAGTGGGCCTGATGTCCTAAAAATATTATTTCCGCATCATATCTCTGGAGATCATGCATGCCCTGACCTAACCTTACATTAGTATGATATTATCAAGTCTAAGCCAAACTTTTACAAATTTGTTTTTGACCATTCTCAAAGCGCTTCATACTAATGACTGTTGGAGTAACCATTATATTTTGATTCATTCTCTTTAAAACCTCGGGGATTGGTTTGTATCCCAAGAGTATCCCACTTTTCACATATTGTCACATAGTTTAAAAATAAGGTCTCATTTCATAATTGTGCTATCTCACATCATCAATGAAGGTGAAATAAGATTTCTAGTAAGAAAAGTAAAATAACATTTTTAGAATACAAGATGACTCTCAAGAAATGGTGGGTGCGGTCCAAAAGGAAGTTGTATTTCTTGAATAAATGAGGGCATGTTGAACGTGCATCCCATGTGAAGGAACACTGCAAACCTTCTCTTTATTATTCCATAGAGTACTATATATATGACTCCTTGATTTTCTTATAAAAAGTGTAACCAACCCATATAGTATCATGTTACATGGGACAAAATGTCAAAAATAGTATGTATCACATATATTAATTAAAAAAATATATATCTCAATTACTTATGTGGAGATATCAATGCCACAATACCCCAACTCCAAACTATGAAGGCATCTCTCCCAATGGATAAATAGCTCAATTTGTCCTTTCAAAAAAAAAAATCAAATTGGTGAGACAATGTTTAGGGTTGCAAACCCAAAAATTATATTCTTTCACCAATTTGCATATTACCCTTCTTGATAGGCCAATTGGCATCTTGGTGAGTTTTCTCTAGGAGACTACAATTACATTGTTAGACGTGTCGTAGCACCTACAAATTAATTTATTATTTTCCTTAACTTTTAACCCCCTTTATAAATTAATATTCATCAAAACATATAGATAGGGCAAGTAAGGATCGATCCCACGAGGAAACATACTTTTTAGGCTATGAAAATCAATTTACTTTGTCACTTTTATTGAATAAAAACTAACGAAAATCTAAAACTAAAACTAAGAGATATGAGGGGTTTGAATGATAATTCTAAAAAGATAAAAATGCAAATAAATTAAAGATAAGGGCTAACAGATAACAGATACGAGATAAGACCACAACAGCAACTCGAACTCAGAAGACACTCAGGGAGAAACAAACACACAAAAACAATCACACAATAAACTTTATAAAAACATAGACAATAATAATTAACTTAAACCATTTTGAAAATACTTATAGTTTAAATAGAAAATAAACTGAACAAATCCGATTAATCAATTAATTATGTCTTAATCCTGAAACTAAACTGCTAATTAAACTCAGGGTTAAGCTGAAGAAGAGATCCACCTGCGGTTCTTCCCTATTTTCCCTAATATAGCCTATGTTAAGACCTGCCTTAACTCTAGACCCTACTATTCTTAACAACCCAAGGACCTGCTCCCAGATTTAATTAAAAATAGAGCATTAAGTTCTTTGGAAAACATCACTTAACAACTATGCAGTAGACTATATCTATTTAACATAGCCAGTTTGAAAACTCTGATTAATAAAAATCGGGTGAGAGCCAATTAAGTATTAACCAGGTGACACTTGTGTTTTAAAAATCTCAGCTATAAACGTACTCAAGATCTTAAAACTGTCAATTGGAATTAGAGTTTAGGCGGCCGTCCTAAATTAATCTAATCCAAGTTTAAACAAAGACCTGTTTTCAAACACCTTTTCGAATTTAGATTTGACAGTAGCACAAAGACTAAAATTTCTTCAAAGTCAAATTAATCCAACAAAAACAAACCAAATCAAAGATTCAATCCTTTTTATCAAACAATTTGGCCTAAGAAGGTTTTATAATTTCAGAGACAATAATCAATCAATAAATCATATTTGAACAATTTAACATCAACACTCAAACAATTCAACACTTATAATATCACTTAAACATTTAATAAGAATGAATAGAAATTGAACACAAACAAATACGGAGTATTAAGTATTGGACAATCAAAGTCATAAATTGAGAATTTTATAACTAAGGTTGTCTAATTAAAAGTAATGAAATTCAAAAGAATTAAGTTTCTCCCCTGGTT